GCCCGCCAATGATTTAGGATAGGAACAGAGAATGGCAAATCGCGCGGGTGAGAGCTTCCAGAGAGCTAGAACAAAACCTGAGACCCCTTTCTGTTGATCAGTTTGAGGGCGCCACTTTTAAGTTTGGCTATAAGCGCTAATTATCTACATACTTATACTCATTATCTATACTATTTTTATGAAGAGGAAAGAGGTTGTATTTGCTTTGAATATAACTAATTTTAAAAATTGTTTCACATACGGGAAGCTACATCATACGTCGGTGACATAGACTATTCACGCGGGTAGATTCGCAAGAAAGCAACTAATATTATAAATGTGAAAGTTTCTTTGTTTGGATGTTTAGATGTTTGTCGGTCAATCACGCCGAAACTAAATGACCATCCTTTTCGGGGATGAGTATTCGTAGTGTATGTCAGGATAGCATAAAAATAATGTTTGTTCACTAAGTCTACAAATCAGAGAGAACATCCGGCCAGTAACGAGAATCGAAATGTACGACTGAAACAGCAAATGTAACTAAAAAGCTGATGGTGACCTACTTTCGGCCATGAGCTGCTCTTATTTACCTATACTACGTAAAATGCATATAATGGTGTGTTCTGCCATTAACCCAACAATGGCTTCATTACTAAAAGTGATTTCTTCCAGACAACCTTGCAAACTGGTCAAAATTATATCTAGATTAAGTAGCTTATGCACGAAACTTAAGCGTAGAGATTCAAAAATATATTTTGGCCAACAAACTTTAAATTAACCTACTTTAAAAATTCTTTCCTTAGTTTTATCTGTTTATACAAATACTTGTTAAAATCACTTTGAAAACTTATACAAACATATCACAAAACAATTTGAAAGTAGACCTAAAATTCAGTAAAGATTCAAATAAAAAGTATTCCTAATTTTAATTTTACCTTACTATTTTTATAACAAGTTTGCTGGTTCCTCAAGAAAGCTTTAAATGAGAACTTGTATGAATTGAGAATATAATATCAATTTCAACCTTGTCCCCCAAAGTTAGTTTTTTGTTTATTTAGACCTGAAGGGGTCTATGTGGACCACTTTGTTGATCCCTTCTTTGGCTTATTTACCACACTCTAAAATTTCATTTTTCACAATTATTACTTCACTCAAATTGATAAAAAATATTTGCTTATGATATGACATTTTCTCGAGTACCTACTTAATTACTTCTCTCGACTGTTGTATGAATTTTATTTAGTTAATACAAGGTGGACTCAGACTCGACAGGAATCACAAATATCGCGATTTGTTGAACAAAATAAAGATACTTTAAAAAGCATAATTGTTTGAACTTTTTGAAGCGTTCCCAAGATTAAATTTTCACAGAAAAATCAAAATAGTTGTTTTAAGAATAAGAGAAATAAGTTTCTGCCTTCTCATAAATTGCAGTTTATTTTCATTAATTTATTTATTTAGATTTGCCAACATTTGTTTACAATATTCCTTACTTAATTCATCATCAGCTGGAAGACGTCCACTGCTGAACATAGGCCTCCCGCTTTGAACGCCACGACGGACGACATTGCGCCAGCTGCATCCAGCGGGCGCCCGCGACTCGGACGATGTCGTCCGTCCATCTAGTCGGGGGTCGACCCACGCTGCGTCTTCCGGTTCGTGGTCTCCACTCGAGAACCTTTCGTCCCCATCGGTTATCGGTTCGTCGAGCGATGTGGCCTGCCCACTGCCACTTCAGCTTACAAACTTTGCGAGCTATGTCGGTCACTCTAGTTCTTTGGTGAATATCCACGTTTCGGATCCTATCGCGCAAAGAAATCCCTAATATAGGTCTCTCCATGCCTCGCTGAGTGACACTGAGCTTCTCTAAGAGGCCAGCAGTTAAGGACCACGTTTCAGTGCCATAGGTCATCACTGGCAACACACACTGGTTATACACCTTACTTAATTATTTACTTATTTTAGCTTCAGAGGCCATTCCACTTATCTAAGATCTTTTTACGGATCCTGATGAGCGAGTCGAAAAAAATATCTATGATATTACTGAATTCATTTACTATCTCACCAAACCGTGCAACCGGTGAATTAGACCCGAAAACAGTCTTACGGAACGGTGCACTTAGAGGGGTTATTGACTTTCGAGGATATCGAGATGGGACACGCATCTTAATTCTATCCAGCAACTGAGGATAATCCACATAATGACCAAAATTTTTTGAAACAAAACACATGTCATTAAGAAATCTACGCTGTGACAATGTGATCATGTTGAAATGAGCCAACCGTTCATCATATGCAGACAGTTTCTTAGTGTTTATTAATTGCTCGTTCTCTCGTTCAAGTTGTCGTCGTTTCTTAGATCACTTAAGGTTCTTAAAGTAAGTTTACCACAATATGTCAAATTTCCTCAATAGATTTTGACATCTACTTTCATGTACTAAGGTTTTTTTATTATTAAGTAGAATTTGACAGTTTTGTAAACCCTGACATCCTGTTAACTACTTTTGTTTCTTCTTTACACTCTGCGTCCTAATCATCAAAGCGCTCAAGTTTATCAAAAAGTTGTCAAATACAGAAGTTCACTTTTACCCGTTCCAGTCTAATCGAGTAGTCGTTTATTAGTAAGTATGTATTTATACTCCTATGCTAATATTTTAAAGAGGAAAGATTTGATTGATTGTTTGTTTGCATCGAATAGGCTCAGAAACTACTGGACGGATTTTGAAAATTCTTTCACCTAAGGCTGGATACATACGGAGTGGACGTAGGCTATAATTTACGCGTGCGAAGTCGCGGGAATGTAGCTAGAAGTATTATAAAAAAGTAAGGATTGATTGTTTGTTTGCATTGAATGGGTTCTCATTTTAGAAATTATTTCCTCTACTGAAAGCCACATAATCATGGATGATATAGGCTTTAATTTAGGCAGGCGAAGTCGCGGGAAAACAATTTGCAATTGTGTCACAGTACTTTTTTAATTTACTTATTTAAAAAAATATGGCAAGATATTCTTCACTTTGCGTGCTTAGATGAAATAAAACGTTGTTAACCTAACCTATAATAGAACTTCTGTACTTAACAACTCTTTGAACACCATTTTCAATAGTTAAGCAGCTGACTGCATAACTCGCACGAATGAACATGATACAGAGGCTCTATTCTATTTGTCCTCGAACGGAAATTTGGAAAAATTTGAATCATTCTAATAATTCTGTTAAAATCCATTAACCGTGAAGATATATTTGTGCATCAGAGACAGTGTCAGATCCTACCTCCGTATCGACATAAATTATCAAAAAATGCATTTCTTTGGAGTCGGGATTTCGAAAATAGACGAAATTTCGTTTCCAAGAAATAGATTAAACTACATTATTCATAGATAGGTACTAAATCTTACGTATTAGTTCAATAGTAAATACGTAGGAGAAGTACTTACCTATTCTACTTCTAGTTTTAATTCTTTGATATGGGACCCGGCAAGGAGATCTATGTTTCCTTTTACAGTAGGTTTTATATCATTGAACGTCTGCTGTCATAACATGCGACATACAAAACGGGTTTTAAAAGTTGTCCTATTTATTTTTCTTAATTTGATTTATTTAGTTTGTTTTGCTGCGAAGTTTTGTGCCAATGCAGATTGTACCCGTATGTCAGTATCGTCTGAATAATAGTAGAAATCATTAAAATCGAGGTGTCGCCATCTCTGAGGTCACATGTTAGATTCCCTGTCGGGTCAATGTAAAAAATGTACTTTGTTATATTGTCTCGGGCACTTAATTTGAGAACTGATCAATGTATATGAATTGTCCAATATGTAGGGGGAGTCCGGGAGACTTGCCCAGATGGGAGAGTTGAACCACTTCTCAAAATTCAACGTAAATTGCAAGCTAATGAAACATAAACACAGTCGTAGATCATGTATGGAAGACCAATTATGTATGTGTCACTATTGCACAAAATGCCTGGTTTGTTTAGCTTTTAAGTTGCGAAAAGTGTTTTCGGTCACTACAAAATAAATTTTAAATAATTAGTAGTTTTGAGATACTGGCCGTGTTTATCGATGTTAGTATTGTAAATTATTTTTATCGTGTTTGCTGATTATTCTAGTTTGAAGTATGTAAATATTTTTAACGGTAATTGAATACCTTTTCTGCAAAGAAAATTTTATGTCGAAGTGATGTATGCGGGAGAGTAGAACCACTGTTCTTGTTGAAGACATCAGTGGTTAATTATACCATCTGTGGTGATGATTCTTCTGCCATAATGCTACTTGCACTCAATTCAATATTATAAATGTTAATAACAAGTGAACAGAAGGCAACATTTAGAATAGTTTTTATAAATTTTGAGAAAAACGATAAATATCAATTCCAAATAATAAATATATGAAAGCAAAACTACGCAAAAGACTCTTATAGAAAGATGATTCTAAAAAAATAAACAGAAATTACTAAAACCCATGATAATGAGTTTCCTCAGACTTTTGATCATATGTCCCTCATAGTGGGGAGAGTTGATCCATTTTCCATTTTTACTTCAAATCGGCTTAGCAATTTACATTATTGAAATATTTAAAAAGTTATGATGCAAAAAAAGTCTATATAAATTACACATGAATTAAAATTATAATCTAGTCTCTACGACAAATCTATACGAAGATATGATAATTCAAGTAAAAAGAGGTTCAAGTTTCCGGACTTCCCCTATTTATTATTAGGTATCATATTTTTTTTTTCTTATCGGATAAAATCAAAGGCATTCAACTTTTTATACCATAGAAGCTAACGCTCAAACCCTGTACTGCTTATTCAAGAAGTAATATAAAACTAGAATCTTATGCGCTTATATAGGTTATAGTGTAGAAAATTAATTTCAATAAAGAAAATAAACTATTAAAATTGAATTTTTGACGATCTTCAATATATTTTGGGTATAAACAAATAATACAGACCCTTATGAAATGTAGAAATAAATTATGCTTCTTTGTATAAAACTTAATATGATCACTATTTTTGTTACAGTACGGACGAAGACGCTCGCCAAGCTATGATGTTAGACTGCGGGAAAATCAAAGAAATCCAAGTAAAGCTGCTACTCAGCTCCCGCTCTGAAATGCACAAGGTCATCGAGGCGGCGCGTCAAAGTGTACCGATACTGACCCTGGCGGCATCAGCACCAGCCCCTGTCGTGACGACAGCTGCCTCTGCTCCCACACCCATCATACCTACTATCACACCATTCTCTGCTGCACTTGGCACAAACTCTCTCACCGGCTTCGGCATTCCCGGAATTGGAAACCCTAATGAGATTCCACAACCCGCTGTAATAGAACCGCCAGCGCCACTCGTCAGCCCTTCTGCAATAACGCCCAATGCAAACGAGGAGAAAGAAGAGGAAAAAGTAGAAACGAAACGCGACAGAGACAAGGATAGGCGTCGATCTCGCTCTAGATCCCGATCGCGCGACAGAGATAGAAAAGATAGGAAAAGAGATCGTCGCGATAGATCCCGGTCGAGGGAGCGACGACGCAGAGACCGCAGTCGCAGCAGAGACAGACGCGATCGCAAACGAGACAGGAAGGAGCGAAGTCGTTCCAGCGATCGATCGCCAAGTCGCCGCTCTCGCGATAGAAGAGAACGCAAATCGCCAAGGAACTCGCAAGAAAAAGTTGACGATTCACAATCTAACGATTCGTTTGCCGCTCCCACATCCATGGCTGGAAACGTGATCAATCCATCTATGCAGACACAGATGCAGCCCTTAATGCAGTCTACTAATATAATGATGAACGGTTTGCCAAATGATAACGCGCTGCAAAACCGTTATAATGATCCATCATTAGCTGATGCATTCAACAAACTGCAGGAATTAGGGAAGAAACGAAATCCAAACGCTTTCCAGGGTGATTTGAGAGATCAGAATGGTGGTGGTAGATTCCAAGGAGGGCGAGGGGGTGCCGCGATTCGCGGGGGTACCGGTTTTCGTCGCGAGAATCGAGTGTCACGCTTCGATAACGATCAACCACGTGACGTTTGCGTCGCTATCAGAAATGCTCCAAATCACACCAGTTACGGCGACGTCCGCCGTTTCTTCCCATTCGTTATCGATAAACACGGCATTAAAATGATAAATGACCACCTCGGGAGACGCACGGGGAATATATTCGTTAAATTCTGCGACCCCCGATCCAAGCAGCTGGTCCTGCAACGGAAACATAACGAATTGAAAGGTGCCCAAGTGACCGTCGAAACGCTAGACGATGACGCGTACGATGCGGCCATAGACTCGTTCCTGCCTTACCGAGAGGAAAACGACGAGGAGGACCCAAGCTTAATCATAGCCGACGACGAGCCCAAACAGTCATTCAACATTCTAAAACTAACAGATTTACCCACCTTCGTGAAAGAACAGGATATCATCAAAACATTCAGCGACTTCTCCCTGTTATCTATAATGCTGAATGACTGCAGAAACACCCGTTCAAAGATCGCGTTCGTCCAGTTCGTAAAACCCGAAGACGCCAAAGAGGCTTTCGATCGGAAAGACAGATACATATTCGGAAGACGACATCCGACTATAGTACCGGTGACCGACGAGGAGTATAATAAACAGAAACAAATTCAAAACGAAAGGCCGTCAGAAATAAAAGAAAAGTCACAGACAGTCGAGCCTCAAGTGGAGATACAAGCACCTCGCGACCCTCGCCAGCGTCGCCAGTTCGACAACGGAACATCTCCTAAGGTTGCTCCTCAGCAACCGCCACAAGCACAACAACCGCCATTCTTCCCGCCCGGTCCGTTCCCTGGCCAGCCCGGTTTTGTCGCTCCATTCCCTGCCGCGGCCGGAGCTCAGTTCGGAGGGTTCCCCGGTCCCACTGCGGTGGACCCTCGTTCAGCCGCAGCCAACTGGGTGGCGAGACCGACTCTTCCCAATCCGATGAACCAAATGAAACATATGCCGGCGTCTCAAAGCGCACCCATCGACTTGGACGACGAACCTCTCGACTGTGTGCTGATGAAAGGATTACCGCAGGACGCGACCGACAGGACTATAGTCTCGTTTCTTTCGGACACAGGGGCCGTGCCTGCCCGGATACATCTAATGTTGGACACGAACGGCCACCCTTCTGGCGACTGTTTCTGTGAGTTTCGTTCCCCGCAAGAAGCGAGAATGGCGGCGTCGAAGCACGGCCAGAATTTGGAGGGCTGTCGAATCACTGTCGACTTAGTCGGCAGAACGGTCGTCGAGGAAGCTCTCGAAGGGCCGAAACAGCAGCAGGAGGTGCAAGAAGGGCTACTCGGGAAAGCCCCGCCGACAATTCCGGGCCCACAGCCGTTCTTCGATGTTCCACAGAGAGGTTTTGGCCCGCGGGGACCTTATAGAGGCCGCGGAGGATTTGACTCTAGTAGAGGTGGATTTGAAAATCGAAACTTCGAATCGGGCCGAGGCGGATTCGACCGGGGATACCATAGGGGCGGGTACGAAGGCCGAGGAAGCTTCCGCAGTCGCGGTTTCGATCGCGGCGGTAGGGGCTTCGAGCGGGGCCGAGGGAGAGGGTTCGGTCGCGGTCGCGGAGGAGGAGGATTCGAGAACGGCAGAGATCAAGCTATAATCCAAGAGAATGATCCGACACTAGAAGATTTCGGAGCGCCTGGTTGCGTAGTGTCTATGGAGAATGTTCCGTTCCGTGCTACGATAGACGATATCCTTACATTCTTCTCGGAGTTCGAGTTGACGCAGGACGACGTGATCCGGCGGTACAATGAGCGCGGGCAGCCGACGGGTGACGCGCGGGTGGCGTTCCGAACGCCGTTCGATGCTCAACGCGCGGTCAAAACGCGACACATGGACAATATTCACGACAGACGAATCAACCTTATGATTCTATAGCGTCGGAGATCACCTCGGAGTGATTCCGACTCGGATGTAGACATTGCATATTGGTAAATCAGCACAATGTGTTGAGGAAGTGTTCCCCACCGTGATTCGGCATAAGGCTTATTGTGTTTTGTGACTTTTGTGGCATTAAAAACATTATAAATAATCTTTATGTGATTCAGATCGCAGAAATGGACTTGAAAGTAGATTTAAGAATTTAATGTAATTGATTGTTATAAAAGTATAATTTAGATACTTTGTAATAATAAAAAACATATTAAATTAAGTTCGTAGTTTGAATTTACGCATCTTGATACTCATTTATTGACTTGATACACCTATCCTATAACAAAGTTTATTTGGTTGTACAAAAACAGATTAACACAATATAATCAGTAAGTACAATAGTCAAGTTAATGACTTTTGTACAATGAGTTTAATAACTAGAGAAGCAATCCCATACAACAGACGCGCCAAAAAGCGTAGCACTTTTCCGAAATCAGGACGTAGCTTTGCAAATAATATTTATACTATATATTAGATATAGATTTATTATATTTGTCTCACTCATATCTACGATTGAACTTTAAATTAAACAAAGACAGAATATGTGCGAACGACAGAATGAACGGAAAAATGGGTAATTAATATTGTATTGCCAGCTGTCGAAAATTTCACCCATTGTGATGAATGAATGAATGAACGAGTAGTGTAGATATATGTATAAAATCAATTAGTAAAATACTGTAACTTTGAAAATTTATTTGAAAAAACTTTGAAAAAAAAAACTATCACGAAACTAGGCTCTGTGCACATATATCGTTTTGTTTTTCGATAAAGTCAGTGGTAAAGACAAAAACATTTGTCAAAGTTCATAAAACATCAAATTGTATCTCGACAACTAACGAATTCCACGCATTGAAAAAATTAAACCACATTAGCATCTGTGTGCGTGTAATATGTCTAGATACGCAATACATACCAAAAATCTGAAGCTACTAAAACTAAGACGTTTGTCTTAGTTTTTTCGTTTTTCACTTCAATACTCATTCAACTCCCGCCGAGAAAGTACAAAAAAATGCTCCGTAAAAACGAAGAAAAGCAGTGGATAATATACGATTCTCTCTCACAAGTACACATAATACGAAAGAATATTAAGTTTAACACTTAAGTCATTAACATTTTTGGCAATAAAAACAAAATTAATGCTAGTTTATAAAATAAAAATTTTAATTTTTTAACAAATAAAAATTTGACATTTTATCGCCAGTGTTGCCACTACTATTCACTTTCAATTTTCCCAACTATATGGGAGCCTTTCCTTTTTATTTTACGTGGCTATAATTTATCTTCATTTAAAATATAAAATATGGCTATAAAATATCTTATTTTAATTGATTATATGGCTTAGCTTAGCTTTAATATAGGCAACTGCGCAAATTGTGTTGATAATTTTATCATACACGCACACAGATGCTAAAGTGGTTTAATTTTTTAAAGTTAATTTAATTTTTTCAAGGCGTGGAATTCGTTAGTTGTCGAGATACAACTTTTGAAAATACGTAAAATTGATTCTTTTTTTGATGTTTTATGAACTTTGACAAACGTTTTTGTCTTAAACACGATTCGATTTATATGCACAGAGCCTACTTTCGTGATTGTTTTTTTTTTCAAAGAAATTCTCAAAATTACAGTATTTATTATATATATATATATATATATATAATTGATTTTATACGATTATTATATATCTACATCACTCGCTCATTCATTCAATCATCATTATGGGTGGAATTTTCGACAGCTGGCAATACAATATCAATTACCCATTTTGCCGTTCATTATATCGTTCGCACATATTCTGTCTTTGTTTAATTTAAAGTTTAATCGTAGATATGAGGGAGACAAATAGAGTAAACCTATTTATATTATATAGTATAAATATTATTTGCAAAGCTACGTCCTGATTTCGGAAAAGTGCTACGCTTTTTGGCGCGTCTGTTGTATGGAATTGCTTCTCTAGTTCTGGACCTGAAAAGCATTAGGTCGGATGTCGGGAATCTTAGGCATAACTGTATAAAAACAGAAATAGCTAAATGCAATCAAAATATTTGAAAAAGTCGTCTGATCCGACTTTATGCATGACTGTTGCTCATGAGTAAAAAGGCACAAACATACAAGAGTTAATTTGCCGGAAAGAGAAAAAAGAGTGTAGCAACGTTATGGCGATAAGTGATTTTAGCTGGTTCTGCACATCCGACCTAATGCTTTTCAGGTCCAGAGTTATTAAACTCATTGCTCTGTTAGGTCAAAAAGAGAGGGAAGGTCGCCTAACCAATCTACTCGTGCGTAATAAATAATTAATAAAGGACATAGTATGTCTTCAGACAAATAAAATTCAATATCGATAGAAGTATTTTAAATTAACGAAATATAATATCTTGATTTTTTTTTATTAATGAAAATTCAATCTGACAAATTGAATACCGCGATATCCTCTCTCTTACAAAGATTTATTGAAGCCAGACCTACATAGAAAGAAAATCTCGTGTCACGATGTATGTCGTAAGTTGATAAATTCTGAAATTACTAAACCGATTTTTACAGATTTAGTAGTAGTAAAAGAAAATGCACAAATGCAGGAATTTTAATGAACGACGAAAACAATCTGCAATTGGTTATCGTCGCAACCAATATCAGGTTCTGTTTACCGGCATGTGACGTCATACGTAAACCGGAAGTTGTAATGTCAAAACATACATACAATTTGTAGCTCACTTTTACAAACAAAACCAGAGTAGATACACATACAAAACATAAAAGTTTAACTTGAATTTCTCTTCTGTAATACTACTTGTTTACTTCGTAAATAAATAGTTGATAAATAAGTTATGTCGTCTTGACATATTTACCGGCATGTGACGTCACAAATACCACGTGATCAGCGCCATTACATAGCAGCGTTTTTTGCGCGATTATGATTTTAAAAATTTTAACAATTATTTTCATCAAAAATAGAACAGATTTTGATGAAATATATTGACAGTGTATATATAATGTATCAAACAACCATTTAAAATAGTTTTCAGAAAAGCGTCAAATACCCTATTCGGATGAAAGTTACGAGCGACCAATAAGTTGGCTCATCACTAATGTTGACGTATCAACTAAACATCGTTCCTTTACACGTAACATATTAATAACTTAAACTTACGATTAAAATAAATTCAAATTAATTTGACAGTTAGATATTATAAGAAACACAAAACGATATCATATTTATTAATTTTCGATTCTCAAATTACTTTCATTACGTCAGAAACAAAATTTGAATGAATAATATAAACAAAATCCAAACTTCGCGAGTGACGTCTATGATTTCAAGAACTATTTTTATTTTTTAAATACTGCCTCATTTTTTTTTACATAAGCTTGGTTAATATATCAACAGAATATGTACTTGCAAACCTTCATAATAGTATTATTATAAGAAATTATTTTTGTCAGAAAGAAGGAGGTAGGTACGCCTTTTCTTAGTTTCTATAAAATTATCACACACTACATTAAATCACATCTATTGAAAAAAAAAACATTTGTATTTCATACTCTCATCACATCTCACCTAAAAATAAATTACATATGTAACTGTGGCGACTGATACATAGCGACATCTAATTCATCACAGTAACATCGCCACAACAATCGATAGCGAGAAGACTAGCATCGTCACAGCCATCGATAGCAAGACGAACTGCAATAAGTTTCAACAGCAAGTAACGAGATGGCGCTGTACCAATACAAGCAGCATAAATTAATAACTAGAAGACATTTAGAACAAAGAAACCTACATCGCACAGAATAAGTTTCATTACTAATTAACATAAATAGAACGTCCAACCTATATCGGTTCGCCAGGCGCATTCCGCTCTCAGCTTTCGTTGCGCGCCCCCGTGCGCGTACACGACTCTCTCCTACCCAAACTGTGAGTACTCTCGTGCCGTCTGCACACCCCGAGCGCAGGCCCTGCTGATTTTGTTTTTTTTTCAAAACATTAAACCAGTAGGACTTGACTCACTCTCAAGTTCTTGAGTTGGTGGATACCTAACGGTGGCAACTAAGCCAACTGAGCGATCCCGGTGCGCTCGCTAAGGCCCTTCAGGCTTTAGCGACACCGAAGACCCGATCCCAGTGCACTTGGGCCTTGTCCCAAGGGTGAAGGTTTGCCGCTATATCCATTAGGGATAGCCGCACTTTTCCGCGTCGCGTTTTCCCCCCTCACTCCGGCGCGGGGTAGGTCTTTTGCACACTCGCCCTATCTCCCTCTAACCTACCAAGGTAGGTGTGACGGAGAGAAGTGCGAGTGAAACACAACTACTCCTCTTTCTCTCTTGCATCTAACGGTTTGCATTGCCGATATGTCAGATATACTCAACTCAAAAAAATACCTATTCGATCAACTTCCGATATGGAGTGCGAAAGCACATCCATAAAGAGGACCGCTTCTCAGCGGTCCCCCGTGAGGACTATAAAGCCCTCACCAGACTCCTAACCCACCACAAGGTGGGTTATCATACCTACGCTCTCCCCGAAGAGCGCAAAGTTCGTGCGGTTCTGAGAAATGTTCCGTACGAGCTCGCCACCGACCTGATCCATAAGGATCTAAACGAACAGGGATTCCCTGTAGAATCCGTACACAAGATGCACAGTAGAGCCGGCAGGCCTTTCCCACTGGCTCTACTCATCATCCCAAATGTCCCGAACGCTCGTGACATTTTTAAGACTAAAGACCTTAGGGTCTGCGGCCTTACTGGGGTTAAAGTAGAACCCCCTCACCGACGCGGTACTCCGGGACAGTGCCACCGATGCCAACTTTACGGGCATGCGGCGGCTAACTGCTCCGCGACTCCGAGGTGCGTAAAGTGCCTCGAGTCACATCCTACAAAGGAGTGCTCTCGAACCCGAGACACTCTCACCCCTCCGGCCTGTGTACTGTGTGGCCAAATCGGCCACACTGCCAACTATAAAGGTTGCCCACGAGCGCCGAAGCCCAAACCCTCTTCTAAGAAGAAGGCTAAGGGCCCGGTGGTCAACAAAGCGCCTGCCTAAAGCCCCCCGCCCACTGCGGCGAACTTCCCCGCCTTACCAAAGGCGAACCACTCCGCCCCCAAACCGGCTTCACAACCGGTATGGGGTCCCCCTCCGAAACCCTCCCAGACGAAGCCTTCACCAAAGGCTTCCGTCCCACCTCCCAAAACCGCTCCTGTTCCTTCATCTATAGCCGATGACATAAATCTAGTCCTCAACTTGATTCGTGGAATCGACATAGATGAAATCACCACCCTAGCGGCTAAGCTCCGCCGCGCTTCGTCCACACAGGAACGCCTTCTGGCGCTGTGTGAACACGAAGCGTTACAAAGTGCATTATCAAAGCACTAACAACATGATAGGTCTCCCAAA